TTAATAAATATTTCAAGTGTGTAGATAGAGAATTAAATTAAAACATGAGTCTATTCACAGTAGGAAGTTTTTGTGGTTTATCCAAATAACTGAAGACACATCTAATGCAGTAAAGCAACATTAAAAAATTTTCTAGCGACTTTCTTATTTAGCTATATTAAGCACACTTAGAAGTGTCAATGATAAATAATTCGAAGGTTGAGAAGTTGGGATCGGCAATACAGAACTAGGTGCCAACAAAGACTCCAACCAATGACGGCCCTACATCCTCGCGATATCTACAGGAAGCCATCTGAAAACGGAGCATAAGCCATCTAAAAATGCATATAATCAGACGGTAGTAGAATATGTAAATGTGAATTGTGCTATTGACCCATTGCAGCTTAGCGACAAACGACTGGCACCTCTTGCAAGAAGGATCTGCAGACAAGGGAGAAATTGTGAAACATTATAAATTATTTTCTTGTGAATGGTGAACACCAGAAACCACATACAAAGAGAGTTAATTAGTAAGGAAGAATTTAAAATTGAACTAGCAATAATCACCTGGCAGCACTTCAAGTTTCCACCACACGCTGCATAATGTAAAAGAGTACTCCCAGATCCTACAACAATATTAATGTTTACTGTGATAAACTATGTGGTAAATTACGAAAAACATCTACTAAGGTTTCACAAGATTAAGAACAAAAATAAAACCGTAAGGAAAAACAAAATCCAATTCTTGAATATGATATGTAGGATAATTACAAAAATCCTGTTGCCGTTTCGACTATTTATAAGAAACCCACGAAAAGTTTCAGAATGTGCAAAATACCCTATTTTGAAGTCTGATACACTCGTACATTTTCTCACAAGGCTAACAATATTCCAAAGATGAAAGAGGATGATAAGCTATTTTGAATAATAGGATTGGGCTCATTTATATGTTAACTTACAATTGACCTTGAACTCAAGTGGTTTCTTGAAGAGACATCTTATTATATAAATAATAATGAAGGAACACACCAATAAAATCCATCGATGTTCCATAATTGAAAGTGGTGAGTGAGACATTTGCCTGGAGATCAAGCAGCAGCTGAACACAATTGAAATACCCATTCAATGCAGCCATATGAAGAGCTGTAATTCCACCATCCGCAACTTTGTTTACAAACTTGTAGAGGGCACTACAATATATGAAGAAAAAAACATGTTATACGAAACACCCGAATAATAAAGTGTATGCTTTTCACCATCTTTTAAATTATCCTATTTGGTTCAAAAAAGGACGATCAATATGGATTCAGAAATTAATAAATTCAGCTGTCTCCTACTCAAACTGGATCAAAATATATGGTTAAAAAAGACAAACTTTGGGTAGTACTTTGTTTTATTTTTATTTGGAAAATCACTTCTGCCACTAGTTGTTTGAGCACTCAGTGATTCAAATGGAGCACTTGGAACAAAATCGGCAACCACTAATCGAGCGGAAGACCAAAGCAAAATGAAGTGCCGTCCTTCCACGTATAGAAATGAATGATTACTGAGAATGACAAAGAATGAACCAGAAAATCTCCAAAGAGTGAAAGTCTAGCTACAGAATAAAATTTCACCACTGCTTCTACAAAACTCGCACATCATATTATTAATCAAAGTAAACGAACATCAGCAAGATACATGAAATCATAGAGTTATTCAAACCTCAAAAGGAAAAAGGTATTTATTAGTATCTGAAGGTCGACTCAAGGGGCAAATTTATCATCAAGAAAGCAATCATTCAGGAAAATGTTGAACTAATGGTTCTGAAAAGTAGACTGAATGTTTGAAAGAAAAATAGACATCACTAAAATTATAATCTGATAAAAAGAGAGCTTACTGAAACACTCAATAATAAGAGCTAAATTATAAGTTATCAAAGGCTATGAAGAAAAAGTAGACTTAAATGGACTCATTAAATTGACTCTCCCAAAATAAATAAATGAATAAGAAAAGCATGAAGCAGAGCACACAAGGCGACATTGGGACGAAAAAAAGGGGGATCGTTTCAGACAATATAGAAATATACAGAAATTCTAGGCTTGGTGAGAAAAAAAAAGATGCACCCTCTCACATTCAGTATACAAATCCACAATATTACCCCCAACATAGATTAATCATGCTCTAATCATTCGCCATGTTTTCATAAATATTTCCAAATTGAAATCCACAACAAAACTTACCTCAATGAACCCCAAATCTCTTAGCTTGAACATCAAAATACACAAAATTATCTCCCTCCACGAAAACAATACTTATCATAAAGATAAAACTTTGACGCACCCAGTTCATTATCAATTGGAAAATAAACTAAATCTCAGAACTTTAGTGACCACTTAGCAGCAAAACCTAGCTCCAAACTGTATTCAAAATTCAAATCAACCAACACTCAAACAGTAACAACAAATTCACAGAAGTTCTCAAAAAAAGTGATGGGATCGAGAAGACAGACCGGGTAGTGATGTCGACCGTGCCCTTGAATGAGGTCCCGAGAAGAACTCCGACCACGCGCTTCCTGGTGTCACGCGCCACCCGATTGTAGTGGTCGACGACGCTCAGCAGCACCAGCGGGTGAACCACCACCTTCTCGATCAGCCGTGAGGATATCTGCTGCGACATAAACTTATAATCGAAGTGATAATTCTGCCTGGGAAGGGTATGAGATGAGAATAATTTGATGGTGGTGAAAAGAATGGATTATCGCATGTAAATATTGAGGTTTAGTC